TTTTTCTTGATGAGGTTATTTTTCAGAAAAGCAGTTCCCCAACCCCCATTTAAAAAGTGACACTGTGCAAGTGTGCAGGTGGTTTTCTTGAGCTCATAGTTTCCCATGACTGGATGACATGTTTTATCGTATCAGAGGCAAATTTTAAACAAATGCGAATCAGCACCAGATTTCTCCCAAAACCAAAGCTCTCCTGATGGTATCTTCACCTCTTCCTGTACCAGAGGTCACAGTTATTGGTTGATTAGAGCTATGTAAGAATGTGAGATTTTAGATTTGATTTAAAAATAAGAGCAATAAAGAGTTTCTGAAAGATTTTGTTTTGGAGGACATAGAAGGTAGGTACTTGAAGGGGTCAGTCCTTGTTTATCTGCACTATTATCTGACACTAGATAAGACCAAGTTTTGGTTACCATTGGTTGGAAGCTAACACAGTGTCAGACATGTTGCAGACACCAAAATGTTACTTAAATACACAAAAGAAGGTCTAACTCAGAATTAAGCGATGCTTCATTAGATCAGATGAGTCCAAAATTAAGTACACAAGAAGATCCACAGAAATGAAGGAAAAAATATTAGAACTTCTATTTATATTTATTTTTCTCTCATTTGTATATCTATTTCACATTATATTATATTCCCACAATATTACACACGGATAATTTAACACAAATGAATAGGCATCTATTGAATACTCTTACTGAAAATAGTTTTACTGATGGGATGGTATCATCAAAGTCCTGTTTCACCACATTATTGCCCCAAAATTAGTCTCCTGTAAGTGCTGATGGAATTTACTTAATTTCTGAAAGAACATGGTAGGTATAATATTAATAGACTTCTATTATTTAAGGAATAAGAGAGGAAAATACTTGTGTGAAGAGCCAGATATTTTGTCTTGTTTAATCACAATCCTGTGATTAAACAACAATCCTGTGAGGTAGATATCCCCATTTTACAGATTACAAAACAGAATGAGTTGAAAGTGTTTCCTATGCTTCTATTTTCTAGAACAAATTACAGCGAATAGATATCATTTCTTCCTTATTTGGTATAATTCACCCGTGAAACCATCTTGTCCTTTTTGGAAGCTTATTTATTATTGATTCAGTTTTTTAAAATAAAGTTGGGAATGGTGGCACACAACTGTAGTCCCAGCTACTTGGGAGGCTGAGGTGGGAGAATCCCTTGAACCCAGGAGTTCAAGGCCAGCCTGGGCAACATAGCAAGACACCTTCTCTTAAAAAAATAGTAAAATAAAATTATATATATGTATAAATTTATATATATATAGAAAATTATATAGAAAGAAAGTCTTATTTTATACATAAATTTATACATAATTAAAGCATATAATTTATATATAATATATAAACTTTTATATGATATAATAGATTTTAAATTTTATATAACATTAAATTTTGATATATAAATATTGTATATTATATAAAATTTTATACGTTATGTATATAAATTATATATGTAATGGTTACATATAAAAATTCTCTATGTATAATTTTCTATATGTATTCATTTATTCCTCTCTCTATATATAATTTTCTATATATATATAAAATTTATTCCTATAGGTATATAATCTTTATTATTTTTTATGAGAAGAGGGTCTTGCTATGTATGTATATAAGGGAATATTATGAGGAACTCTGTCACCTATCCTGGAGTGCAGTGGCACAACCATGGCTCACTGCAACCTCAAACTCCCAGACTCAAGCAATCCTCCCACCTCAGCCTCCTGAGTAGCTGGGACTATAGGTGTACACCACAATACCTAGCCAATTTTTAAACTTTTCGGGAGATGGAGTCTCAATATGTGGCCTAGGCTGGTCTCGAACTCCTGAGCTAAAGCAACCCTCCCGCCTTGGCCTCCTGAAGTACTGGATTATAGGCATGAGTCACTGTGTCTGGCCATAATATTTATCATTTTAACACTCATGGGATTAGAAATGATGGCCCATTTTTCAGTCCTGATATTAGTAATTTGTGTCTTCTCTCTTTTGCCTTAGTTCACCTGGTTAGGAGTTCATCAGTTGTGTTGATGATTGCAAGAGCAGACTTTTGATTTTGTTGAGTTTCTCTATTGTTTTCCTGTTTTTGATTTTATTGATTTCTGCTCTGATTTTATTATTTCTTTGCTTCTGCTTACTTTGTAATTAATTTGCTCTTTTTAATATAGTTTTCTAAGTGGAAGCTTAGATTATTGACTTTAGATTTTTCTTCTTTTCTAGTATATGCATTTAGTGCTATCCATTTTCCTCTAGGCATTGCTTTTGCTGCATCTCACAAATTTGATGGGTTGTATTTTCATTTTTATTTAGTTAAAAATATTTTATATTTCCCTTGAGACTTTTCCTTTGACCCATGTGTTATTTAGAAGTGCATTGTTTAATCGCTAAATATTTTGAGATTTTCCAGCAATCTTTCTCTTACTGATTTCTAATTTAATTCCATTGTGGTCTGAGAGCAGACGTTGTATGATTTCTATTCTTTTAAATTTGTTAAGGTGTGTTTTATGGCCCAGGATGTGGTCTATCTTGGTGAAAGTTCAGTGTGAACTCTATAAGAATGTGTATTCTGCTGTTGTTGGATTAAGCTGTCTATAGATGTCAATTATATACAGTTGTATGGTAGTACTCTTCAATTATATTCTGCCTGCTGGATCTGCCACTTATGGACAAAGGGGTGTTGAAGTCTCCAACTACAATAATGAATTTGTCTGTTTCTCCTTGCAGTTCTATCAATTTTTGCCTCATAGATTTTCACACTCTATTGCTAGACACTTTATTACTATGTAATGCCCCTCTTTATCCCTAGTAATTTTCCTTATTCTGAAATCTATTTTGTCTGAAATTAATATAACTATTCCAGCTATATTTTGATTAATGTTAGCATGGTATAACTTTCTGCATCTCTACTTTTACTCTGTGTTTTCACATTTAAAGTGAGTTTCATGTAGACAACATATAGTTGGTTCTTCTTTTTTTATCCCATCTTGTTCTTTTACTGGTGCATTTAAACTATCCACATTTAAAGTGATTATTAATATAGTTGGATCAATACCTACCATATTTGTAACTTGATCTTCCCTTTCTTATTTGTTTTGCTTTTGTCTTCCACTCCTAGTCTTCTCTAGTTTTAGTTAAACATTTTATACAATTTAATTTTCTTTCACTCTTAGCATATCAAAATTTTTCTGTAGTGATTGTTCTAGAGTTTGGAGTATACATTTATGAGTAATCCCAGCCCACTTCCAAATAACACTATACTGCTTCACGGGTAGTGCAGTTACCTTATAACTGATTATTCCCAATTCCTTCCTCCTATTTCTTATAACATTGCTGTCATTCATTTTCCTTATCCACAAGCAATAATCATGAATGACATTGTTGTTATTATTATTTAGAACAAAGGCTGTTATCTTTTAGGTCAACTAATAATAAGAAAAATAAAAGGTATTATTTTTTCTTCATTTATTCCTTCTCTTTATTTCTTCATGTAGAGCTGAATTTCTAACCTATATCATTTGCCTCTCACTGAAAACTTCTTTTAACATTTATTGTAAGGCAGGTCTACTTTTTTGAAAATTAAATGAAATATTATTATATATATAGATTTTAAAAAAATAAAGCTATTCGCAGTTCTGGATTTCAGTGTTCATCAAGTTGCCATCATAAAAAATCACTGATGCTTCATGCAGATGTCTAAACTCTATATGCTCAAATTTAAGAGTGATATGAATAATTTACTATTGAAAAAAGTAAAGATACCATGTGCATTGTTGCAAATACTGTGCTGATTTCTGATTATCTCCAGAATTGTAATTTGTAATGAAGAGAAGGCAAGAATATAGATGCTCAGCACCACTGGAAAATGATACTTCATTGTGTAAAATTTTATTGCATTCATGCTATCCAAGAAGGATTTCATTCATATTAATTAATTTGCCTTTTATCTAAGCATTTTTATCCTCAAATTCTCTTTGCACTCAAAAGCAGTGTCTGTCACAACCCACCATCCTTCATGTCACTTGGGCATGACAAACACAGAGCAACAGATGTGGAGCTTTTCCCTGGGGCTTGAAAAAGCATTAGTTGTAAAAGCAGGTATTTAGGGCTAGAGGCTTTGTTGTACCAGAGTGGAGAACCAGATCTCTAGTGACAGAGACACTCTCATGTCCACATGTTCTTTAGCACATTTATTTTTTCATGTGTTTGTTATATATGGGTCCTCTAAAGAGCTGGACTCAGGGCATAGGTCTTTTTCTCTTACATTTTCTTAAGAAAAAAAAAAAACTCAGCCAAAATTACCTTCATTAACGATAGACCTCCTTTCCAAGAAGAAACAGACACCTTTATATAGTCTGACCATTCGTTTAGAGCATTCATTGTTGATTTAGTGTATCTTACCTTTTTAATGACTTTTCCTGTTTTAACATGCATGAAAAGCATCCATTTCTATGCTCAATCAAATGCTGCTTCTCCAGTTACACAACAAAAAATGATTTCTTTCCTCTTCCTTCTGAACTCCCTTACCATTCATTTGAATCACTTCTGAGGTAATGAACATAGTCTGCTGTGTACGATAGTGATTTGGGTGTATCACCTTTCCATTTCCACTCAATTCAGTTAACAAGTATTTATTGTGCACAAAACAAAGTACCAACCCCTATGAAGCCAAGGTAAAAAATTTAGATTGTGACTCCTTGAAGACAGGTGGATATGCCTGATGTTTGCATTGCCCAGATTTGCTTGCAGGTGACATCCATACTGTTAAAGACTATGTGCCGGGAAATTCAGTATGCCTGATTTTCAACTGATAAAACTTCAAAAATTTACCTGCTAATTTTGTTTTGAGAGTATAATGGGAAATTTGAAGTGCAGTCGAAAGACATCTGTCTAGCAATTTAATCTAAATAATAACAATAATGATAATAACATAATCATTATGATCTCTGTGGTAATCTTTGAACTTTTTCCTCCTAGGATTTCCAGACTGTATTACCATCATTTGAGCTTTTCTCGAAGTATGGAAAATTATATTCAAAAGCTGGACAGATTGTATAAAGGTATGACTTTTTGCTAAGAAGTACTTCAAAAAGTATATTAAATAACACTTAAAAATCAAATGGGGTTGACTTAACTATCAAGCATTTTAAAAACCATGCTATAATAATATTTATATGTAATAAGACTCCATAAATTTCTTTCATTCTAGTGTAATGGTTTTCAACATTTAAAAGATAATGAATTTTACTTTTCAGATATCTTCTCCAAAGTGAGCCAAAAATACACTAAGAAATAGAACACTAAAAATCTAAAATACTCTTTTTTTTATTTATTTATTTTGAGACAGAGTCTTGCTCTGTCGCCCCGGCTAGAGTGCAGTGGCATGATCTTGTCTCACTGCAACCTGCCCCTCCCGGGTTCAAGTGTTTCTCCTGCCTCAGCCTCCGTAGTGTCTGGGACTACAGGCAGTGCCACCACACCTGACTAATTTATGTATTTTTAGTAGAGATGAGGTTTCACCACATTGGCCAGGCTGGTCTCGAACTCCTGGCCTCAAGTGATCTGCCCTCCTTGGCCTCCCAAAGTGCCAGATTACAGGCGTGAGCCACCATGCCTGGCCCTTAAATACCCTTTATCTTTAACTAATACAATAAATAGTTTTACACAATACAGTGAAAAAATACTGTTGGTGCCCCAAAGCCAAAATACTTCTCAGTGCTGTGATGATACAGTATCATTTCAAATATTATACTGAATAATGTACATTATTTGAAGTATGAAGTATCTTACAATACCAAAGAAATAAATATAGAATTCTGATTATCAATGTTTACGATATATAAGAACAAAGATAACCATATAAAACTCAAGAACAAAAAATAAGCTCTCAGTGGATACTGTATTCAATTTCTAAGGCATTTTAGAATACAGCAGTGGTTACAATTGAAGTGTGTCTAATAGGAGGTATTGTGACATTTTTGGCCAAATTTAAAGAATGTACAGGGTGAAGACAGCAAAGATCACTGCAATTGAAGGAAAGGGGCAGAAATGAGAAATCACGCTAGTTAGAATCTCCCAGCTATCCTCTCAGACCAAGAAGCGAGGAGAAAGCACCAGGCTGTTAGAAAGAGCACAGGGTAGATTCAAGGCAACGTTCCTTCAATTTTATGTTATTCTTTCCTCTCTACCCACTGAGTGCTTCAACTTGGAAGTTAATATGTTAAATGCAGATACCAGTGTCTTACCTTTTAGCTACTCTGAAGGAATACATGAGGGGAAATATGAAATATTCTGAGCTAATAGAAAATGTGTATATAAGACCAACTGGAATCGCTGTTTCCAAGGTTTATAAAGTATCATTACCCATTGGAGCATTTATCTGGTATTTGAGAGCCAGAGTATGAAGTAATGTAAATAAAATGTCTCATATTTGTGTGTAACCAGCTTTTAACTCAAAGATATATCAATTCTGTTTATGATGATGAAAGATTGAAAATAACTTGAAAATAACTTGTAAGTTAGCTAAATAATGAAACACATATAAGGCAGTACTATGCAGACAGTAAAATGTTATAAATCTTTACCCATTAATTAAAAAAAATGCCTACAATATATTTCTAGGAAAAGAAGGCTGGATTCAAAATATGCTGTGTAGTCTTATTTCACTTAAATAGATATATATGTCTGTGTGTATACATACATATATACATGTGTATATGTATAAAAACACACTTGCACACACTTATATTTAGTATGTCTATGTACACATTTGTATGTTGCAAAAATGTTAATGGTGGTTATCTCTGGGTGGTGAGATTATGAGTACTTTTTGTGGGATACTTCTTTTTATTTCTGTTTTTTGATGTTTTAATGCAACCAGATGAAAGCCAAGTATTAAAACAAAACACTCCAGTAGGGACTGTTTGATCTACTCTACCAATTACAAAAACATCTTGACTTTATTCTATTTAATCATAATAATTTAGAGGCAATTATCTTTTTTTCTTGAAGATGAAATAATTACTTGCTAAATTATTTATACAGAAAGACAAAGATGAGTAACAAATGGTGTACATTATTTCTAATTAAAAAGAATGTGCAATGCAAAGACACAAATATGTTAATGGATTTTTTTAATGTTTGCTAACTCTTTTGGATTTTTAACAATTTTGTGAATTGACAATATTATAAAAACGTCATCTCCTTTTCTTTGATAGGAAATGAATGTCTAGTGTTTAATTTTGGTAAGTGAAGGGCAGCAGCCTTAGCTGAGGCTCTCCTATTAAGATTTAATTTCACCAAATACAACAAAGTGCTTCTGCTCTTTGTAAAAAAAAAAAAAAAAAAAAAAAAAAAAAAAGGCCAAGATGGGGACACTTGCACCAAACTGTTGAATAAAGATGCCATAGTAATTTTTAGAGCTATCTATTTGATTGCTTCAGCTTCAAGGTAGTTCATCACTTCACTATAATTCACCCGACATTGCCTTTTACACCCAATACTACATTTTCCCATCAGTCCGATTAGAAATAGTGATGCCTTTATCAGATTAATCTTTCTTTCTTTTAGCATGTCTGAGTTTAGGATAAACACTGCCTGTACCTAGCTGTTATCATTAATGCTCTAAGATTTAAACCACTGAAAAATACACAGAACTAGATCTTCAACACACACACATGTTAAAATCTACTGTCTGACTAGGATAACATTACTCCTTTTAGTGTCTTTAATTTGTCTTTTTAAATGGTCACTATTTGTAACTTTCAGTAGTTTCCCAAAAGCAGTTTGGTCTAAATCAGAATGTGCCATGTGCTGTCAAGAGTGCTTTGCCATCCTTTTAGCGCCATTTATTTTTCCAGGCAGAGTCTCTTTAAACATTGTTGTGGAGAAAAATTAGCAAGATAAGGTTAAAATCATTGGTTGGAATTTTATGAATTGGATAATGTACCCGATTCAGTCTGGCATCAATGTGAGTTTTCCTACATTACAGGCTGCTCAACTTCCTCCAGTTCGTCTTTGCAAAATGGGCTTTGGTCCAGGCTGTTTTTCTGCTAAAAAGTGGTTCAATTTTGAGGCCCGATGAGATGAGTTTTAATTAAATTACTTATTAGGTTTGAAAAACAATGTGCTTTTTCTCCTTTTCCATAGGAATTTGGCATATGAACAACTCAGCTAAAACAAATAAATAAATAAAATGAAAAATAAGTATAGTTAGCACCTGGATTGGGAAAGGGGTTAAATGCCATGGTCTTTTTTTCCAGAGGGAATAAGATCTTAGCAACTGTGTAAGGAAAACAAGTTCTATGAGGGGAGAGTAATAATTAAGCATATAAGTTATATGTGTGCCTGTTAGGAGTTAAAATTTTAGTTTAATAAGAAAAATTATTAAATTTTGTCATTCAGTTTGGCATCATGTGAACTTATAACCCTTTTAAGTTTTGGCGTAGTGAATTGGCAAAGAGAAAAGAATAAAGGCATCTTCATTGTCCTTCTCTTGGTTAAATTGTGTTTGATTCAGAATGTTATAACCACCCCACCTACCTGTATGAAGATGTTTTGCTGTGGTTTTCCATAATGGAGGCAGATTTGCCAGATATGCCATGTGTCCAGTGACACACATAATCAAGACTGGCTTTTTTGTTTATGGTTTTTTGTTTGTTTGTTTTTGTTTTTTTCAGAGACAGGGCCTCACTCTGTTGCCCAGGGTGGAATGCAGTGGCGTGATCATAGCTCACTGCAACCTCGAACTCCTGGGCTCAAGTGATCCTCCTGCCTCAGCCTCTTGAGTAGCTAGGATTACAGGTACATGCCCCCATGCCCAGCTAATTTTTTAATGTTTTGTAAAACTGGGATCTCGCTATGTTACCCAGACTTGATCGTGATTGTTCAAGAAGATCTGCAGTAGTGTAGATGGAGAGCAGAGAACAGGGCTAAAAATGAGTCAAGTCCGGGGCCATGACCTCCTGACATTAACTGAACTAAAGCTAAGAGAGGAAGACTTAAATAGAGAATTTAAGAACTTGTGTTTCTGAAGTTCTTTTTTTTTTTTTTTCATTTTACTGTTTTGTTTTCAGAAAACAGAAGGTGAAATGTAAAACTGAGATTAAGGTGTGAAGTGAGTGTGAATAGAAGACCCCACTGACTGGAGTCCTGGATTCTTCCACGGCTGATGAATGACCTTGAATCTCTTAATCGCTCTAGTTTTCTCTCTCTTAAGTGTCAGAAGAAGAAACTGAAGTCATCTGCATTTTAAAACTTAACAGTTCTGAAAGGAAAACACAGATGAAACACATATACTTGCTATGATTCAATAAACTATAAACTTTTCTAGCTCTAGTCATGAATTAATTATTGTGTGTATGTATTTGAAATCTCTTAGACATATATTTTCAAACAAATACTTAAACTTGAGTCTTTTACCTCTGAGAATGTCTGTGACAATCACAGCCCTTGGTGACCAACAGTGCCATAAATGGTTCCCCTGAAGTACCCATATTCTGACCCCATCACCTGGGTCACAAATGATGAGACCAGTGTTGAGTACCCAAATTAAGGGTGACTAACATGTAAGTTGGATGATGAATGGTTTGAAGTGTAAATTGTGAACTAGTTCAGCATAAAAGCTCTGCCCTGAGAAATAATGACTGATTAGACCAATTAGAAACCCCTCAGACTGTTGAACTTGAGGCACACAGACGCAACAGACACAGACTAGTGGGTGTGGGAGCAGAAACACAGGCACTCTTAAATGGAGAAGACATTTGCAAGTCTCTGCTGCCAAGGGAGCAAAGAGATACTCTGGATGCCAGGGCTGTGTCAGATCCTGCATGGCTCTGAACTACAGTTGGTTTCCAAAAAGCTGGGCTTTTGTGAGGTTTCTGTTTTTTATGCGATGCTTAGATTTTTCCTGGAATCCTTGGAAGTTAACTCAACATTTGAGGTTCCTTTATCCTTTAATCCCATCCCTTGTGTATCCTTACAATAAAACTTCCTGCTAGAGGTAGCCTGAGGGAATCTTTGTTTCTTGTATCTGAAGAGAATAACACTAAACTTATTGCATATGATTTTGGGGTTGGATCCAATGATAGCACACAGGGACAGGAAATGTGATTTATTGATCATAAAAGCTTTAATTTAAAATTGCTGGCCAGTGAGATCCAGACTCTGGGAAGTGTTATAGGCCAAATGATCTGTTTCTTCAACAAATAAATTACAAAACTGAGGGGAAAAAAAGGAACCTATTAAAAAGACATTATCTATCAATCACTGTGTGTGTACAGTTTTGAGCTCCTGATTTAAATAAACAAATTGTAAAATAAAAGATCTTTTGAAACAATTGGAAGTTTGAACACTGATTGGATACTGGTGGTATAAAAGATTATCTTTTTTTTAGATGTCATATGGTATTGTTTTGGTTTACAAAGTTATAGAGATAAATGTTGAAATATTTGCAGATGCATTGATATGATGGCTGGGATTTAATTTGAAAGTCAAAGAAGTGAGTGGAAACACGTATACTTCCCCTCTTATAATGTGGTTATGTCCCAATAACTCCATTGTAAATTGAAAATATCCTGTTGAAAATATTGTAAGTTAAAAGCACTTAATACAGCTAACTTACCAGACAGCTTAGCTTAGCCTCACCTACCTTAAATATGCTCAGAACACATACATTAGCCTATAGTCGAGCAAAATCATCTAACACAAAGCCTATTTTATAATATTGAACAACCCATGTAATTTATTGAATATTGTACTGAAAGTGAAAAATCAAATAGTTGTATGCATACTCAAAGTATGGTTTCTATTGAATGCATTGTAAACCAAAAAGTGTCTGACACACGTCTCTTTTTAAAAAAAAAAAACATTTATGAGACAGTCTCATTCTGTCACCCAGGTGGGAGTGCAGTGTTGTGAACTCAGCTCATTGCAACTTCCACCTCCCAGGCTCAAGCAATCCTCCCACCTCAGCCTCCCAAGTAGCTGGGACCACAGGCATGGACCACCATGCCTGGCTAAATTTTTTTGTACTTTTGGTAGACACGGGGTTTTACCATGTTGTCCAGGCTGGTCTTGAATGCCTGAACTCAAGCGATCTGCCTGCCTCGGCCTCCCAAAGTACTAGGACTACAGGCATAAGCCACTTGAACCCAGCCCTAAGACAAGTCTCAATTAGTTTAGAAGTTTATTTGGCCAAGGTTAAGGACATGCCCTTGACACTGCCCCTGTCAGTACAGGTCCTGACAGCATGTGCCCAAGGTGGTCAAGCTATACAACTTGGTTTTATACATTTTAAGGAGACGTAAGACATCCATAAATACATGTAAAATGTACATTGGTTCAGTCTGGAAAGGCAAGATGACTCAAACTTGAAACAAGAGGGTAGGGGTGGGAGGATATGGGGGATGCTTCCAGGTCATAGCTGGAGTCAAAGACCTTCCAGTTGGCAATTGGTTCAAAGAATTTATCTAAAGGCAGTATCTGGGTTAAATAAGGGGACCAAGGTTCTCATTATGCAGATGAAGCCTCCAGGTGGCAGACTTCAGAGAGCATAGATTGTAAATGTTTCTTATCTGACTTAAAAAGGTGTCAGACTCTCAGTAAATTATCTCCTGGATCAGTGAAAATACCTGAAAAAAGGTTCTCTACAGAATGTAGATTTTCCCCATAAGAGATAGCCTTGCAGGGCCGTTTCAAAATATGTCAAAAAATATATTTTAGGGTAAAACACCTCAATTTCTTTCAAGGCCTGATATTTGTCATGTGATGCTGTACTATATTCAGGCTGAAACTTGGTATCTTATTGCTATGAAAAATCTTAAGATCTCTATTTTAATGTTAATGCTGGTCAGTGGTGCCTGAATTCCAAAGGGAGGAGGGTATAATGAAGCACGTCCAATTCCCCATGCCCTGCCCCCACCCCCACATCCCATCGTGGCCTGAGCTAGTTTTTCAGGTTAACTTTGGAATACCCTTGGCCAAGAGGAGGGCCTCATTCAGATGTTTGGTGGGGGGAGGGGGGGTCTTAAAATTGTATTTTTGGTTTACAGCGTATTGCTTTTGCACTATTATAAAGTAAAAAAATCATAAGTCAAGCCGTCATAAATAGAGGACCATCTGTAGATATGAAGGAAGATTAACCAAGACTTGGTTATTGTTAAAGCCGATGATTGGCTATACGAAGATTTATTAAACACTTTTGTGTACTTTTGTAAGGTTTTGGTTGTTTCTAAACTTAGAACAAAATAAGTAATCGGCCATCTTCATTGGATTGTGAAGGCATTTCCTCCCACAGGTTTGTATAAATGGCAACCATGTCCCCTAATTGAACCAGGCATGAATGGCCTTCATTGATTTTGTAGACCCTGACCTTCTCTGTTCTTCCAGAGAAGGTGGTACTCAGGTAAAAACTTCTAAGCATTTTGTTGTTCGGAATATGACTTTGATCTTCTCATGAGACTCAAGTTTTTGAATGCTTAAGGCTCTTTATTGCTAGTGTATGTAAGTAATATCATTGTCCTTAACCACCATCTGCCTCTCCCCCAGACACACATAAGTTTATGATAACTACAGAGGTGTCCAGGTGAGTAAAAACTGCCTTTGCATTAAGGTGAGAGAAGATCAAGATGAAATCTTCTTGGAAAATATAACTGGGGAAAGTTGTTTGTCTCTTTCTTCTGGAAAACTACTAGACTACATCAACTTATATACTTCTTTTCTGTATTCTCAATATGAGCCACTTAAGAAACTTAATGAGACCTTATGTTTGACCAAAACTGGTAATTCCTTGATGTTATTCTCCAAACTTGATTCTGAATGACTACTGACCACCAAAAACACTAAGAGTACCACTGTGGATGTTTAAAGGCATATACCTTAAGAGCCTTCAGAATTAGATGCTTCAGTTCTTCTGAAATCAAAAGTCACATCAGCTTTGCTGTAGTTAATCAGGTAATACCTTTCTTCTCCACTGCTCTCTAATTTCTTTGAGGGCGAATACTGTCTTTCTTGATAAATGCCCTGTACCCAACATCTAACAGAGTACCTGGCATAAATGAAATCCATTGAATGTGTTAATAATAAATAAGTTCAAAAAATCTTTTAATAGAAGGTATAAACTAGCAGATAAGCAAAGTCATTCTCATAAAACACCATTTGTCATTTGAATGCATGCATCGTGGCCTGTTATTTTTAACTAGTCTCACTAATTTATAGTTATACATGATGTAGATCTAGATTGTGATATACACTAAGTGGGTTGATCCTGAGATCAATCTTTGATTGCTGCTTGGGTAAAGTGTTCCTTTTGGGAAATAAATAATCTTTCATATCTGTAAACTTTAGTATAATTGGTTATTTATGCAATGTATTGTTGTGGTCGTCAACTCAAGATTGTATTCTCATCTGGGGACATTATGAATCCTGTTATTTTATCCCCACTTTTGCTCTGTTTTTTCGCATTTATGGCTTACCTGTTACAGCCGCACAGTATCCATTTTCTGTGCTAAATTTATCTTTAATTTATTATTTTTTTTAACTTCAGCTTTTCTTTTAACTTTGCCCTGATTTTCTCTTCCATTTTATTTTCACTTCCATTTTAGGAACAATAATTTACTAAATTATATGAACCTATTTGAGGTAATGATGATGCCTGGGAAGGGGCAGTATTGCTGGATCAGAATTCACTTTTTCCAAGTTACAGATTTTAATAAACCAATGTGCAAAGCATTAGGATAAATTTTTATTGAAAATTGAGTGAATGACTGAACAAGTCACCGGGGAATGCTGTTTAGGTTGCTCTATTTTCCATGGATTAAATTAAATTCTACTTAGCTAGTGTCTCTGAGCTTATTTAAAACCACAACTCATCACATCTTTTGTGCTACATCTTCAGCTACCTTGCAGTGTTTACTACTGCCAATGAAAAATTTCAAATGAGAGTAATGGCGTTAATTTGGACTGACATGGGAATAGTTATTTAGTGTGTCCTAGAAAGAGTGAAGAGTGCACCATGACAAGCACATACATGTTCATGACTCTCATTTTGTAATTCAAAGCTTTTTCCTGTGGGAATGGAGTGAAATTCAACTTGATCTGGGGCTTGGACTTTGCCTGCTCCTTTTGAGGCTCAGTGTCCCCAGCAGGCTCCCTCACAGGGCACAGTAGGGGACTGCTAAGCACTCTTCCATTTCTAAATATTTCAACTCATTAATGCGGGAATCACCTTGCTGCTGGTACTGGCAGGTACAGTCACTTACCAGTACATTGAGTTGAGTTTATAGTTCTCAGCTTCATAGTCATGATCATGTGATGCAGTGAGGCAGTTCATTAGCACA